TTTTGTCGAGTTGATATTCTTTTGGTGGAGAGTGCAGGTTTCAGCACTACTCACTCAGTAGAGGCTCTTTTCATCTCCATGCCTGAGGATCTCTTCCAGTGTTGCTCTGGGTACCATGCATTGCCAGGGATTAAACCTTGGCTTCCAGTTTTGTAAAGCCTGCACACCAGCTCTTTGAACTATCTTCCCTCCCCATTATTTTCTTTTTTTAAGTGCTTGAGAAAATCATTGTGTGTGTGTGTGAGTGTGTAGTGGTTGTGGGGTTTTTTTGTTTTGCTTTTTTTTTTTTTTTGCTTTTAAAGGATGACAATTGGATACATTCAGAAACAAATAGAATAAGAGGGAAGTCCTTTCCTATCTTGGTGCTTGGCTGAATTGCATTTTGTTTGTTTCATTTTGCTCTTTACTTTATTTAAACCATACGATTTATAAAGTTGTTTATAATACAATTGTTTCAGGCATTCAGTGTTCCAATACCAATTCCACCACCAATGTACCCTTCCTCCAGCACTGTCTCCAGTTTCCCATCCACCCCCAAGCCTGCCCCCTTAGTGGGCACAAAATAGTTTATATTGTTTGTTACACATAAAAACAAAAATTACTTTGCATTAAAAATGACGTTTGTGTTAGGGGTTGTTGCTGGTGCGGATGGGTGGCACATGTGTTTTGGCTCTCTGAGGTCACACAAGCATGTTGGCTCTCTGAGGTTACACATGCATGCCGGCACTCTGAGGTTGCACACACGCCCTTGCTCTCAGATGTTGCACACATGAGCTGTGGTGTCAGCATACTTGACTGCATTGACTGCTCATTATTTTGTTGGCATACACCAGCACTGCCCCAAACCCCTAAGCCTGCCCCCTTACATAGGCACAACATAGTTTGCTTTAGATTGCTTGTTACAACAAAGAATTATTAGGAAATAGATCAATAAAAGGTAATTTCTGATAATTGTTATATCTCACAATGGTGTTATTAAACAGCTTTGTAAATCACACAGTTTAAATAAAGTGAAAAAAAGAGCAAAACAATACAAACAAAATTGAGGACTTTTGGAGTGGTTGGTGCTGATTGAGCCTTCTGTTTTTGCTTATTGTTTTGTTCTTTTTTTGTTGTCCCAATAGGCTAATAATTTGTATCTTTTTAAAAAAATATATATATATGTTTTATTGAATCACTGTGAGATAAACAGTTACAAAGCTGTTCATGATTGGGTTTTAGTTATACAGTGTTCTATCACCCACCCCTTCACCAGTGTATATATTTCCCACCACTAGTGTCCCCAGTTGCCCTCCCCTTCCCCTTCCCTCCAGCCTACCTTATTTATGGCTGGCACTTTTCTTCTCTCTCTCTCTCTCTCTCTCTCTCTCTCCCCTTTTGAGCATTATGGTTTGCAAATTGTATCCTATTTTATAATTTCCTTTCTTTTTTAACACCATTATGTCTTCCTTTTCTCCAGTAACATTATTCCGTTATCAATGACCACTGACTTACCCTTTCATCTGCTCAATTTTTGTCTTTATATTGTACATATAAGAAAAATCATCAAATATTTGTCCTTTTCTGTCCGACTTACCTCACTTCACATAATTTCTCTAAACTCCTCCATTTTACTGTGAAGTGAAAGAAAAAAGGTCTTTTTTTTCCAAAAAAAAAAAAAAAGCTAAATAGATGTATCCATTGTCTATTGATGGGCATTTTGGTTGCTTCAATATTTTAGCTGTTATAAATAATGCTACAGTAAATATTAGATACATTTATAAAAGATTTTACTCCAATTGGAAATTTTCTTCAATTCAAAACATATACTTTATGATTTTTTTTCACTCATAGATAATTTAGAAGAATTTTGTTTAATTTCTAGGTATTCTGGAATTTTCTAGCCATATTCCTATATTACTGATTTGATTTACTTCTGTTGTGGTCAGAGAATTGCAGTGTGCAATTTCAAAACATTTCGTTTTTTTTTTTTTTGAGATTAGTTTTATAGATTAGGTTCCCTCTTGGTTGATGTTCTGTGAGCACTTACAGTATGTATCATGTCTTTATTGGGTTAACTACTTTAGAAATGTCAATTAGTTCACAATCATTATTTGTGGTTGTCAGGTATTTTTTATTTTCTATTTACATTTTCTCTCAATAATTAGTGAGAAATGTGTTAAAATCTCCATCTATAATTGGTGATTAGACATTCAGTTCTGTAAATTTTTGCTTTATTATAGTTCTGTTATTAGGTATATTTAAGATTGTGAATTTTCACTCCATCAGTGAAAAGAAATATATATTTTATAAATTTATTTTTTTTAGCATTAAAAATGTCTCTTATTTATATTTTTACTCTAGTAACATATATTTCCCCTATCACCTTGGAATTAATGTTGAATAAATTACTATTTTATTTTCAACAAAACAAAGTTCTTTCTAGAATTGTTGCTTAGGATATAGAGAGTCAACAGATACTTGTGCTTTCTGCAAAGTTTCCATGTATATTATCCATTGCCAAGAAACCACCCTGATTTATGAGAACTTCCAGTGCTTGACTGAAGATTCATGAAAGTTTTTGGACTGTAGCATTTATTGATTCTAGCAGCACAAAAGAATAGTAAAGTTTTATTGCTTAGTAGAGTCGGGGCAATTCCTCAGATTCCCTATCAAGTTGAGTCCTGTTAAATATGGTACAAGTTTTCATTTTCATGTGACAGAATTAGTGTGAAATATTTTGGAATCTTTTTCATGAATTAAGGAGTGTATGTGTGTGTGTATGTGTGTGTGGGTGGGTGTGTTTGTGTGTGTGTGGTATTGGGGATCAAACCAAGGGTCTCGCCATGCCTGCCTCTACTGGGTGAGTCACATCCACAGCATGAGTTAATGCTCAACCTCTTGAGCAATAACATGCTCCCAGAAGTTGTACTTCCTTGGACTTACACTTCTGTTTAGTTGTGACGCTCACATGAATCGTACCCCTTGGGTGCGTGCATGCGTGTGCGCGTGCATATGTGCGTGCGTGCGTGTAAGTGTATGTGTGTGTGTGTGTGTGTGTGTGTGTGTGTGTGTGTGTGTGGTGCTTCCACACTCCTGGTGTGGCTGGGAAATCAGTATGGCATCAGGCATCAGTCGGACCGCTGAGCTGAAATTAGCAGAGCTGCTGGGATTGCATTGAATGACATGAGACAACGAGGTTTTCGAATTCATGACTGCTATTGCAAGGCAAGAACTCTTAACCTCTGCACTACTTCTAAACCTCTGCACTATTTCTCAGGCCAGTATACATGCCAGCTTACAGCGATTTCACATCATTTTCTTATCTATCTTTAGGGTTATTTGTAATGAGAAATTTAATATTTGCTCACAAATTAGTAAATATTGGAAGAAAGAATTTATAGCCAGTCTCTTTTTTTTTTTTCGCTTTTTGGGTCACACCCAGCGATGCACAGGAGTTACTCCTGTTCATGCACTCAGGAATTCCTCCCGGCGTTGCTCTGGGGACCATATGGGATGCTGGGAATCAAACCTAGGTTGGCTGTGTGCAAGGCAAACGCCCTACCCGCTGTGCTATCGCTCCAGCCCTGCCAGTCATTTTTTAAAGACTAAAAAGATGTAAGTTTGTGGTGGGAAATGTACACTGTATGACTGAAACCATGAACAGCTTTGTAACTCTGTACATTAGGTGATTCAATTTAAATAAAAAACAAAGTGTAAGCCTTAGTATAATTATTTGCTTGCACAGAAATTGTTATTTTCAAATGAAATCAATTATATTTTAAGAAAAACTGCAGTAGACACACTTCTCTTATACTTCTATTATTCTAATATTAAAATTAGATTTTGCTTTCTTTTCCTCTTTTTCTCTTTCCCTCCTTCCTTCTCTCTCCCTTTCTCCTCCCTGTGCTTTCCTCTTCTCTTTTTCTTTTCCCTTTCCACCCCATGGGGTTGAAGACTAGTTACAACTTAGACCTGATGATGCTGGAAAATTAGAATTTTTGCTTCCAAGAAAGAGATGAGACAATCCCCAGTGAAAGTTAACACTGAAACATGGTTAATAGAACTGGGAACCGAGGAGGTTAAGAGATGAGAGGAGGAAGGGACTGTGGGACAGTGGTAGAGGAATCTTCACACACTAGTGGCAGGATTGGTATAGCAGTACTGCTGATATTAAACAATTGTTTCAGTATTATTATAAAACTATGATACCTTATTAAAAATACATATTAAAAAGTTCCCGGGGATGGAGAGATAGTACAGCAGGTAAAGCATTGCCTTGCAGATTTGATCCCCAGCATATCATTTGGTCCTCCATGCCTGCCAGGAATGAAACCTGAATACAGAGCCAGAAGTAACCCCTAAGTAATCCTGATTGTGACCCCCAAATGATAAAAAATAAACAAAACCTAAAAATTCCTTACTCTACACTCCCCCCCCCCAAAAAGACAGAATTTTGCTTCCATTAAAGCCCTGTCTTTAAATGTATATCAGAGCCCTAAACAATGGCTGGGTAAAAATTGGGCTGACAGGGTGCCAAGCGATAGTACAGTGTTAGGACATTTACCTTGCAAATGGATTCGATCCCCAGCATCACATACGGCCCCCGAGTCCCACAAAGAGTGATCTCTGAACACAGATCCAGGAGTAAGCTCTGAGCACAGCTGGGGCCTACTCTAAGTTCATGTGTGACCCCAAAACAAACAAGCAAGGAACAAAAAGGGCTACCAGTGTGGTCCACTTAAGATCTCATATTTCTCATATTTATTCACATTTTTCCTAAGTAGCTTGACCCTGTGCACTGCAATTTGGTTACTATGTTCTGAATTACCAATATTATCAATAATTATTGATCATAGCTAGATTATTTAACCATAGAACAACATTCTCCCAAAGCATAGATTTCAAGCAGTTTTATTAGTCATAATTACTGGGTTTCCCCTTTATATAAAGGTTAATTATTTTTATCATTCTCTTTTTTTAAAAAGGTTCACTTGGTTTTACTTTTTTGTATGTGGCAGGTGTCTTCACGCAAGGACAGCTGGGCCTGGTAGACATCATCTTCCAGTATATTCGCTGTGATGAGATCTATGAGGCAATAAACATCCTGAGCAGTATGAGCTGGGACACCATGGGACACCAATGTTTCATCAGCATGAGTGCCATAGTGAATCATCTTCTTAGACAGAAGCTTACTTCAGAAAGAGAAGGTTAAATATAAAATGTATTTCATATTTTATAAGAAGTTTTTCTGTATAAATATGTTATAATGAATCAGATTCTTTTAGGGCTTTTTATATTAATGGAGTTTAAGAGTGATGAGGATAAGATGTGTTATATTGCATGTGTAAGGTTTAATTCTTAGTATCTCTCTGTCTCTCACACATGAACATGTGCGCGCGCAAACACAAATTTGATGCTGGGCTAAAACTAAGAAGATTAGATATCAGGTAACTTCATATATGGTATTCACTGCATAGTATTTGTCATCTTAAATAACTTTTTATATAAACCTATGTGGGGACTCACAATGCAGTCATTGTACATTTCTGCCTAAATTCATGTGTAGAACATACTCAGATTTCAATTTTTGATCAAGAATTTCATGTACTCTCTAGAGTCTGGTAGACAAAGGACACCAAACAAAGATCCCTATTTCTTCTTCTCTTTAGACATCAATATTTTTTTTTTCTCATACCGCAAGTACTTTGTCTAGACAACAGTCCATAACAGTGATTGTGTGTGTGTGTGTGTGTGTGTGTGTGTTTTGCAACCAGACTGCTCCCTAGTGCTTTCATTCTAACTTGTAGTTCTGGTATACTCTTCCACTCCTCTGGCATGGATTTCCTTGCTTTGACTCAGAAAGTGATTTTAGCCATAGAAACCCAGATAATTATTGTCAAAAGAGATAATACAATGCTTTTATTCTTTAAAAAAATGAAAATATATTTGTTTGCTCTTGAAGTAATAAGAATGAATTATTTTCCAGATACCAAATTTATACTATTTTATAGAGTTAGTTATTTACTTGCTGTAAAATTTACCAAAACATTCTTGAATTTACATCTTTATTTTAAATCCTACCAATAAACATTGACAGAGATAATGGGAAATCTAAGTTTTCCCCTGGATAATTTAAGCCAGTTAAGAAAGACAAAAAAATTGTTAATATTTTTGAAGAAGGTATTTTCCCCCCTGCCATTTTCTTTGCATATTTATAGATTTTATTATTCCGCTTTATTATGCTTCTAAAGTAAATGACACATTGCTTAGCAAGAATTCTGTGCGTAACCTTCATTTTAGTTATTTTAGAGGAGAATAATCAGTAAGAACATGTTCCTTCAGGAAGTTTGCATCATGGAACTTGGCCCAAATCATAAGAGGCCTACAATAAATATTAATGTTAATTGAATGTGCTTTTTGGAAGTAATCCAGTTCATCTATGGAGATTCAGTGTTTCTTCAGTGAAAAAATATCTAGCACAGTGCTTGACCCATAGTGAGTAGTCAGTCAATAATGAGTGCTTCTACTCAATGAGAAAAAATAAAAAGTAGGATATAGCTCTAAATTTTTAGGGTATTAAGTAATACTGTGATATTTCATCTGCAGAGTTATCTCAAGTAATACATTTCTTAGTTTATATATGCTTTTAACCTTGGGTATCAAATAGAAAAGAAAATGAAGAAGCAAAAATCACTAAAAAAAAAATCAAGAAAATTGTAACACTACTCTCAATATATATAAGAGATCCTAAGTTTACAATTGAAGAAGAAACATGAAGAATTAAAACTGTTGACTCTGAACAGTGAGAAATTTCTAACTTTAGTGAGTTTGTATTGTGCACATATTATTCACAAATGGGTGTTTTTATATTCTTGCTTTAATAAGGATATTTTCAAGGATCCATATTGGAACAGAGGGAAATAAAAAATTTGTTTGAAACTAGGCTATTAAAATAGCACATTTTCTTGATGCTGGGTTATCAGAATATGCACATTTTAAGTAGGTATATGCATCCCCCCCCCCCACGAAACTACAAAACACATTTCTGAAACATTCAGAATTCTTTTCTATTGAGATTTATTCTGTATTTGACATGGTAATTTGTTTTTCTTTTATTAGTGGAACCCAGTGAGCTCTTTTATTTGTAACTATGTTGTGGTTATCTTTGAGATCTTCACTTCTTCCTTATACATCAAGCTGGGCTATCTAATGAATCTATAACTGTGCTGGGAGTTACAAGTATTCCACGTAGGCCCGAACATTTCAGATGTACGAAACATGCTGTCAAGAAAACAAGCAATGGCAAGAGAATCTGGCTTATTTTCACAATAGCATTGCTGTATTCAATTTTAATCTAAATTGACTGCTGCTTTGAAAGAAAATACCCCTAAAGTTCATCTTACTTTACTGTCTAGATTTGAGATTAAAAAAAGAAATTACTAACAGCTTAGCCAAGTCCATAGCAATTACTCTGATGAGGTATTTAATACTTTTGAACCCAGATATGCCTAAAACGAAAGAGTTTTGTTAAATAAGGAATATTTTTATTCAACCAAGGGCAAGAAGCATAAAAATCAGTAGTGTCTTACTGTGAATCATAGAATTCTCAGATATACTCGAGTCTCACCATTCTGGTAATTATTTAAATTCCAGGTGTTTCTGGAAAGAAACACAACCCCATTAGCATGGCCTGGTAAAATTGTAAAGTAAGCAGAATATGCCTTTTTTGTCTTAATCTAGCCCTCTAACCAGGTTTATCAAAACTTGCTCACCAATCCTTCTTTCTTAGAAAGGTGTCAGTTGACCCATAGCAGATTAGCATATATCCCTCTCAGGGGTGTTAGCTTTCACACTTTAACAAAACCAGTAATCTTGTTTAGAGCAGGATTTAGAGAAGGTATCAGGACTTTCACTGTGTTTTAAAAAGTTGTAAAAGATATTATTACTTGATAGCACTATTTTATTTGCATTATTTTTTAAACATTTGTAACACTGATTTCAATTCCCAATGCAGATAGAGTTCTTTCTGCAAAGGAGAGTAAATGTTGAACACACAGAGTATATTTTACTGGAAATACTAGTTCAAACTGTGTTACTTTGATGAGTCACTGTTTTAATTACCCATTTGTGGTGAGAGGTTGGTTCATTATGGATTTCTTCAGTTTTGACAGCTTTTTGTTGCTCAGAGTCATTGTCAGCTTTGCCTCAAGTGAAAGTTTATACACAGGTTTGTTTTTGTACCAGCTGTCATATTTTAATTTCATCTTTCCTGCAACAAGCTCACATTTCATCCAAGTTTGCAAAACCTGACTGACTGCAAACATGAGTATTCTGTTGTAATTGAAGGAGTTTCACTTGTTTTAGCTGCTGCTATGTTTGAATTCCACAGCACAGCTTGAGGCAAGCCTGGGAACCTTCTATGTTCCAACAAGACCACTCCTGGATGCAACTATAATGAAATATAGAGACCAAATCAGCAAATATGCAAGGAGATTCTTCCACCACTTGCTCAGGTGAATAATATATTTGGATTGATTAGTATCAGACTACCTCTTTAAGGAGACATCTTATTTAATTAGACTATTTCAGGTTTCTCTGCATGAAACAAGTTTCTTAATGTTCTTCCTTTAATTCATTCTTGTGTTCCTGTTAAGAAAGATATTTGAATATTATTTAGGATTTTTTGTATCATCAATAACTTTAATAAAGTACACTTTATAATATGAAAGTTTAAAGTATTAGCTGTATAAAGTCTATTTTGAAACATTAATTTAATAATTCTTCTAACACTATAGAGATTTTTAGTCTTAATTAAAGTTAAAAGTACGATTATGCTATAAAACTGCCTCAGGTATTGGTTAGCTTCTTTCAGAATTACTATTGTCCTCTCACATAATGTTCAAGCTGCTATCTTTACTGTGCTTCAGGTTATTTGCCTTAAGTAGATATTGTGCATCTCTTTAACCATAGGGATTATGTGAAATATTAAATAGTAATGTCAATAAATTATTCTAAAAAATGTACTGAGAAGTTGAGGAATAAGTACATACAACATATTCCACTTATATGGAGTTGGAAATTAATGGTTGGAAGATGAATGAATGAATGAATGAATGAACGTATGGATAGAGCTAGAGAGATAACACAGTGGCTAGGGCACTTGCCTTGCATGTGGCTGATCTGGGTTTAATCCCCAGCATCCCATCCTGAGCATCACCAGGAATAATTCTTGAGTGCAGAGCCAGTTGTGTCCCTGGAACATTGCCAAGTTTGCCCCCCCGCAAATGTATGGATAGATACTGGTAGTGAGGTAAACCATGTTTGACTAATATGCACTTTTTTGTTTGATTTTTTTTTCCAAATGCAGTATTCTAATTAAGTTTTATTCTACCTGATGAGGTTGTTATTATTAATGGAATTATTGTTTTTAATCTCAAACTTTCTGTTTGGTTATATCTGGAACTGAACATTTTCTTTTGGAATATACTATGTTTACCCAGTTTAATTTTATTTTGCATTCTTTGCTTCTATTTCAGATATATTGAGTGCTTAGCAATGTATGAATATACATAAATTTATAAATGCTACCCAAAAAGCAAGGACTTGATTAGCACAAAATTTGGATAGTGTCAAATGATGAAGAGAAAAATGATGGTCATTGATGATTAGGAACCCTAAAGTATTTACAGTGCTCTGTTTCTTAAGATGGGTAGGGTATATCATACATCTCATTAAAAATTATTCTTACAGTGATTAACATTTGGTATAATTCATATCATGTATTTAAAACTAAGTAATAGAATTTTCAACTTCACATAACAGAAGACGTATGCTTGAGTTAAATTTAGAGTTTAAATTTGCTTATAATTGTTCTTTTTAAATTCTTTCAAACAGTTTTATGGATAGTATTATTTTCTCAGAATTATCTTGTTCAGCACATTTAAAGACATTTAACAAATTACTTAAGTGAGAAGTGTCACCTAGATAACTACCCAAAATTTAAACCTTTGGAAAATTCTTTCTAAAACCTGAAAAATATTGAGATTGCAAAAGTTATGATTTTTAATTGAATCTTAACACTTTGTTTGAATGTGTATAGAATATTTCAAGAAGACTCTTCACCCCGAATGAGACAGTCTTCTACATAGTGAGTGTGTGCCAGATATTACTGAAACTGATACTACATTTTTTTGAACTTAATTTTGTTCTCGTGCTCACTGCGACAGCACATATACTAAACCTGGATCCATCCAGAGAAGATCAGCATGGCTTCTGCACAAGGATGGCACACAACTTTGTGAAGCATTTCGTATTTTTTTTTAAATACTTTGTTCTTTGCTCTCACTACATTGTGTTTTCCTCATTTATAGGAACACATTTGCAAATTCACTTCCTGCTCAAAGAGCCCCCAGGGATTAATGTGATTAAAATAGACATATTGGGGCATACTCTTTGGTGGCCTCACAGTGTAGTGACTCTGACCTCTCTGACTTGTCTCAGTCATTTAGTTGAACACATGCACCACATTTCATAATGCTCCTGGCTCTAGGGCAGGGGATGTGGCTCAGCAGTAGAGCATAATGCTGCTGGTTCTAGAATGCTCATATTTTAAGATCCACACGTTTGACTAGTATGCACGTTTTTGTTTGATTTTTTTCTAAGTGCAGTATCCTAATTAATTTTTATTCTACTTGATGAGGTTGTTATTATTAATGGAATTATTGTTTTTAAACTCAAACTTTCTGGGGTTATATCTGGAACTGAACATTTTCTTTTGTTTGCCCTGCTTAATTTTATTTTGCTTTCTTTGCTTCTATTTCAAATATATTGAGTGTTTAGCAGTTCTTTTGACAGTAGGCTAATCTCACATTAAGAAAATAAATAGTAGATTCTGAAGAATTTTTAAAAGATATCATGATCATCCTGTTGTTCATCAATTGCCTCAAGCAGGCCCCAGTAACGTCTCCTTCGTCCTAGCCCTGAGATTTAAAAAAGTGCCATATTCAAGGCTCTTTCAGGGTTAAGAGAATGAGACCCATCATTGTTACTGGTATTTGGCATATTGGGTACGCCACGGGGAGTTTACCAGACTCTGCCATGTGGGCAGGTTACATTCGATAGCCTGCCAGGTTGTCCAAAGTAAGAATGAGATAATAAGATATCACGCAGCCACAAATACAGCTGCATGCTTCCGGGAGCTGGGTTTTATAGTCTCTGGCTCTTGGCCGTTGATGGGATTACACGGCGCCAGGGGGCCAGTTGGTGGGTGTGACCCCTGCCTACTGGAAGATGGAGGATCTGGGTAGAGGATGCTCAGCCCCGATCCAAGCAGGCTTGGAGATCTCAGTCCTGGGACCCGCATGCCTTTGTTCCTCTGCCGGTACCTTCATGCATGTGGAGAGTGGTCTCAGCATGGTTGTGGCTGGTTCTGGAGGTCTTCGGCTGCCAGAGTTCTGCTCGGGGCAGGGAGGGAAACTCAACCCGCCCCCCTCCAAGGGGCCCCAGCGAGAACACCCAGGCACGGGAGCAGAAGACTCTGCACTGTTCTCTTCCGAGAGCTGCGTTTTATTGTCTCTGGGTCTTGGCCGTTGATGGGATTACACGGCACCAGGGGGCCAGTTCATGGGTGTAACCCCTGCCTACTGGAAGATGGAGGATCTGGGTGGAGGATGCTCAGCCCCTATCCGAGCAGGCTTGGAGATCTCAGCCCCTTTTAAAAGATAGCTTAAATTGAAATTTTTTTTTTTAAAAAATCTGTTCCCAAAATATTGTCCAGGGACATAGAAACAGGTCAGTATTGGGGGGCCCAAGTGATAGTTCAGCAGGGCATTTTCTTTGCATGTGACCAACCCCGGTTAGATTCCCATTATTCTATATAGTCCCCCAAACACACCAGGAGTGATCCCTGAGTGCAGACCCAGGAGTAAGTCCTGAGCACTGACAGATGTAGTCCAAGAGTAGCCCAAGAGCAACAATAACAACAAAAATTATTTGGTACAAGTATACATTACTCCCTGTATTTTAATGCTGTACAACAAGTTATTTGATAATAGAATAAGTTCTAAATAATAAAGATCATCATAGGAAATTTTAAATTAAAGATGAAAGAAAGGAGCATCCTGGAGAGCAGGATGTACTCGGGACTGTTCACTGAGAAAACTGAGAACTCAGATTACTTAAAACTAAATTGGATTCTTTTGATAAATAAATTAAATATTGCATTGATTTTAATTTAATGTAACAGATGAATATTGATGTCAGTATAAATTTGTAATAGTAGACAAATATACTCTAAAATATTAAAGTAAATGTTTTTGTTTATAATTCTGTTTTTATCTTGACACTAGAGGAATTTCACAACTATGTTTTTGTTTCTTTGCATTTCTTTCTTCATAGCCACTTTGACAGTTATCCTTCCTACAAATCCAAAAGAATGTAAACTTTAAACTTAATTTACATCCCTTTTCTGACACCTTTTGTTGGTATGTGTTCAAAGTGACAAGTTTTAATAAAATGATTCCTAGAAATGTTAATCATTATTCCTAACATTAAAGATAGAAGCCAGGGGCTGGAACAATAGCACAGCAGGTAGGGCGTTTGCCTTGCACGCAGCCAACATGGCCGACACAGGTTCTTTTCCCAGCATCCCATATGGTCCCCCAAGTACCGCCAGGAGTAATTCCTGAGTGCATGAGCCAGGAGTAACCCCTGAGCATCGCCGGGTGTGACCCAAAAAGCAAAAAATAAATAAAAAATTATTAAAAAAATAAAGATAGAAGCCAGTACTAATACTGTCTTGATATGGTTGCTGCATAAAATTTATTATAAGAAAATTGTAAAAAAATGATATTGTCTGATTCACAAAATCACTTAGCTGGATGGCACTTACCTCCGAATGGTCCTTGACAAAATTTACTGTTTTCCATTACTGTCACGCTCAACACTTCAGATACAAACCTGTGAGTTATTTGTTTTTTCATATTGTCCACTTTTTTCTCCAATTTTTATTGAGATATCATGATTTACTGTTGATGAAGGAGTTTCGTGCGTACAATTGCATTATATAATTTTGGACTCCCCAATTTGGTGTCCTACAGTTCAGTTTAGTTCTGATATTAACCAGAGTTAGTACAAACCCAAATGTTAATTGCTAAATATCCTACCTATTTCTGTCTGGCTTAGCTACAAATTGTAGTTTCCCACTATTCCCTCTTTAGGCTTTCTAACTTGCTAGATTTGGAGAACCATCAAAACAGCTTTTTTGTTGCTAATAGTTCAAAAGATATTTTAAAGAATACTTATGTACAGTCTGATAAAGAGATACACAGGGCCAGTATGTAGGAAGGTTTATGAAGCTGCCATACCCTCTCCAATGCACCACCCTCCTAACACCTCCAAGTGTTCATCCAAAAAGCCTTTTATTTTTGGTTTGAATGGAAGCTTCACTATATAGGCATGACTGATTGAATCATTGGCTTTTGGTATTAACTCAACCTCCAGCCCTTCTCTCCACCAGGTCTAAGGGTGGGGCTAAAAGTTCCAATCCTCTAATCCTGAGATTGGTTCCCCTGACAACCAGCCTCATAGGGTTTTAGTAAAGTGAACTCATTAATACAAACTCAGGTGTGATTGAAAGGGGATTGTTACGAATAACAAAAGATAGTCACCTCTATGATTCTCATCACTTAGGAAATTCCAGAGGTTTTAAGGAACTCTGTGCCTAGTACTGGACAGAGACTAAATATGTATTTCTTCTTATAAATTGCAGTAGAACAGAAAGCAAATGCAGTTTTGCCAGAACTATGTTTAGAGGCAATTGCTTACATTTTTGCTTCTGTGAAAATGAATAGTTCTCCAGAAATACTGAATAGAAAAGCTTTAAAAACTTTTATAAACAAATATAAATTATAGTAGGCATTCCTAAATATTGATCAAACAAAACTATGGACACTTCAAATGATTGCCACATATGAGTCTTATTTTATTCACATAAAAATATATTATAAAAGATTAAAATACTAATATAAAGAATTTTGCTCATTCGTTTAATTTTAAAAGCATGAAAAATAGAGCAGTTATATGAGAACATTTAGACAGTAAGAATGACTTGCAGATAACATCTTCCTGATGTTATATTAAAATGCAGGGTGATATATATATATGTGTATATGTATATGATATTTGTTTAAAATATGGTTGAACTGGCAGGGAAATGCTCAGAAGTTAATATAACTGGATGCTTGGCTGCATAAGAGTGAGCAAATCAAAACTGGCCTTGCGGACATCTCTGACAGCTGGTATTAGGTGTTTGGTTCAAAAGGCTGTTGCTCAGAGGACTGGAAACAAAGCCTAGGATTTAACAGAATGAGAGGCTAGATCAGTGATACAACAATCTAGGACCATGAAAGGAATTTTGATTTTTCTCTTCAGTATAGGCACTATCAATAGACAGTTTTGGAACCAAGTAAGAAATAGTGCACTCAGATGCTATGCTGGGAAGACTTTTGAAATTCTAGGGCCGGTTGGGGGGTATAGCAATAATTGTGAAAAATGGTGGCAATTTAGGAAAGCATTTCTCACTAGGGGCTCTGATGGCCTCCTGTAATGACTTTGTAGAAGTGTATTACAAAACTTTCAGCTATATTAAAGCTATAGTAAAGCTATATTATATTACTTTATGTTATATTACATCATCTAATATTACTATATTATATTTCAGCTATATTAAAGTTGTGGGGATAGCCTTTACCAACATGGTATGCTTTAAAAAAATTTTATCATGTAGTGAAGGACATGATAAAACCCAGCTCCCAGAAGAGAACAGCAGAGAGTCTCCTGCCTCCGCACCTGACTGTCCTCACCGGGGCCCCTTGGAGGAGGGTGGGTTGAGTTTCCCTCCCCACCCTGAGCAGAGCCCCGGCAGCTGAAGACCTCCAGTTCCAGCCACAGCCATGCTTAAGACCACTCTCTACTCGTTTGGACAAGACTCACGCATGAAGGAAATGGCAGAAGAACCCAGGTGTGCGGGACCCAGGGCATAGATCTCCAAGTCTGCTTGGATTGGGACTGGGCCTCCTCCACCCAGATCCCCCATCTTCCAGTATGTAGGGTTTACACCCACCAACTGCCTCGGCACCATGTAAGACCCAGAGACTGTAAAACCCAGCTCCCGGAAGTATGCGGCCACATTCATGGCCACGCAGCATCTTATTGTCTAATTCTTACTCTGGAGAACCTGGCAGGCTACCAAAAGTATCCTGCCCACATGGCAGAGCCTGGCAAACTCCCCATAGTGTATTCAATATGCCAAAAACCAG